CATGGGCAGGGCAGAGCCACAGAGGTGGCTGCTGCCAGCTTTATTGGGTGGCCTAGTCAGCACTGGGGGTGAGAGGGAGGCCCTTCTCCTAAAACACAAACGGCCGAGGCCAAGAAAAAGAAAAAAACAGGAAGCTTCAAGCTGGGAACAGAGGGACCCAGAGGGAGAAGAGGAGAGAGTCTCTCTGGCTTTCCAGGGTGAGGGGGTCTCAGGATGGCAAGAAACAGTGTGAGAAAGGGTCTCTGGGATGGAGGAGCCCTGCTCCCTCACAGAAGGGAAATGAGGTTGGAGGTGAAGGCATTCTGTCAACAGCTAAGCTTTCCCACCACCTAGTCTGAGTCCTCCAAATTGCTCAGCAAAGAGCCCGGCACCTGAGAAATTAGTTTTCGCCAGCACTCTGTGGGAGGCTGGTTGGTAAGTGACAATAATGGACAGCCCTAGTGTCTCTCAGGTCTTCTTCCTGGCAGTGACGCTTATGTCACATGGCTTGATGATGCCCAGGTCTGTGCCTGAAGAACTTCATTCAGCTGGTCTGAGAAGAACCCAGGGCGAAGTCGCAGCTTTCTATGTGAGCCAATACATGGTGACTGAGAGCCTCCTTCTGTAGAACCCCTGGGGTTGAAGTGTCAAATTCTCAGGCTGGACACCCCCCTCCCACTATGCTGGACAGCCATGTTGGTAAGGGTCTGTGCCTTGTTTGCCCAGCCATGAAAGTGACCCTATTCTTGCAAACTACCCATTGCTTTGCAAATGTGCATCCCTGGACCAACCTGGCAACATTACCACAAGCTCAGCAGGAACACAGGTGAAGACTCTAGGCTTGGCACATAATAGATATTTAAGAAATTTCCACTTAATAAATAGACTTTTACTCATGAGCACACTGCTAAGAAAGTGCCCACATCTAAGGAAAAAACTGGAGCGGGCTTAGATATGAGAACGGACTAATTGTGATCTGTGGGATTGGTGATGGGCTCTATAAGAGGTCTATGGGACTCCTGTTTCCGGTTTCTTGACAGGGTGATGGAGGGAGCCTATCTGTGAAGGACCTATGACTATCTTCCCACATCCCATTTTCTACTTGGTGGGCACGGGAGCCCAACCTGGCAGGAATCTTGGGCGTCTGCTGTAAGAGCGTTCACCACATTAAAGGCTGCCCCTCTCCCTGCCATGCCAAAGCCGACTCCTGGTGCCAAAGCCCAGCCTGGAAGAGCCCTCAGCCAGGGAGGGCCATATCCAGAAACAGCTGCGAGCAGGGGTGTGTGCAGGGCACCTCACACCTGGCCCCTTTGCAGTCCATGTCACCAAGCTGGGCCACAGAGCCTGTACGGCAGCCATGTCGGACAGTAAGAGGGCCGGCTCGGAGCTTGCCAGACACAGCGTCTGGCTGGGGATCCAGAGTCAAGTGGGACTGAGTGGATGGATATCAGGAGCTCCAGGGAGAAAGAAGGGAAGGAAGAGCCCTGCGGGCAGTGAAGACACTCTCTCTCAGAGGTGTGAAGAAGGTAAGTGGATCGAGTCCCCAGGTCTACCGCTTCTCCTTTTAGGTTTCCTAGCTTGGGTGGCAAGTGGTCGTGAATTATGCTTCTCAGAAAGGCCCCCTTTAACTGCCACCTCCTTGGATGCAGGAAGGAACAGAGGCCCAAGCCGATAAGCAGGCTTCCTCTTGGCCGTGTAATCAGGGATCTACGGGTACAACAGCACCTCACCTGGTACAGTTAAGATTTTCCTCATAGCCCATAGGGCTTTGGCCAATCATCAGAAGCCCAAGTGTCAAGGCCAAATCTTTGGTTCCACCTTTCTGAGGGGTCCCACATTGGCTCACAGGAAGCTGGTGAAGGGGGTGGCCTACAGAAGAACTCAAATGCTGTAGCTGGGCACATGGCCTACCGCCATTACTATGGGTCACTAGGAGGGTGCACTTGGAGCTTACAATGGGAGTCTTGTTTGCTTCCTGGGGTTCTGTTCTTGACTGGGAGAAGAGAGAAGGAAGTTTCTGGTGCCTTCCTCTTGCAACAGCCATTCCTCTATGACCATGACCTGCCAGCCCCAGCACTGAGCAGCCAGCCAGACACAGGGGTGCACCTAGCAGAGGCAGTGCCCCCCCCCCCCCGGGTCAGAGCCTGGGGAAGCAGGGTAATGAAAGCCTCCTCTTGTTTGTTGCTATGGGCTCCTGTGGTCACGAGATGAAGTTCCTGTCTTCCTGTATACATTTAAGCATTCAAAGCCTTAGCTCCAAGGTTGCTGCTTTGTGTCCTTGGACATCTAGTCGTGTGACAGAACAGGGAGACAGGTGTTGGGGCAGGGACGGGTAGAATGTGGTTGCAGGAACGCAGAGTGGGAGACTCTGGCAGATGGCCCAGGGGAGTGGTGTCTGAGGTGGTCCTGGCAGAAGGCTGAGGATTAGGTAGAAGAGAAGAGAATTCCAAAGGAAATTCTAGACAAGATGGGGGAGTTTGTCCACTAGGGTGCAGCCGGAGGCTCGGCCTGGCTGTGGGGTTGTGGTGGGGAGCAGGGGGCAGAATGTGAGTTCTCCTGGGACAAGCTGGCCTCTGGGGATAGTCAAAAAGTTTGCTATCGCTGAGTGACAATGTGAGGGGCAGTTTGTGAGGACAGGGGAACCCAAGACTGCTTCATTCGGGGCCAGGTCTTGGTGCAGTAAGAAAAGGCAACAGCTTATGTGGGTTATTCGTGCCCACGTCGGCCCTGACTGCTGATGCCTGGATCAGTTCGGGCCTCTGGTTTTCCAGCATTCAGTTCAGGGTTTAGCCACCCGGCTGTGTCCCAGCGCACTTATTCCATGAGGGCTGGCTACGTAGGGCACACAATAGGATTTCACTGACTTAAATTGCTCTTGCCATAGGCTCTAGAAGAAATAACCTATCTTGGGGTAGCCCCTGCAGCCAGGTATCTTTCCTGGGTGCCACAAAACCTGTGTGCCTGTCTGCTGTGGGGCCGCATGCCTGTCTTACAGCAGCACGGTCTAGAACTTGTCTTCTGTTCTGACCCTTCTCTGAAAACAACAACAACAACAACAACAACAAAATCTCCCAATCAAGCCCAAGGCCAGCCCTGTCCCCGACTCCCCTGTGCCTGGCGATGCAGGGCAGACAGGCTTCTTCTGCCTGTTTGTCACTCTCTCCACTCTCCCAGGACATTCCGGCCTGCGAGGAACATGCCGATGTGCAAATCCCTCAGGTAATGCGGGAATTCATCACCAGGGGAGCATGGGCGATCCAGGAATGGCAACCCGATCACAGCTTGAAGCTGGAGAGGAGCTTGCGGCTGGCCAGGGAGGCTCGGGTTGCAGACAGCGAGACACACGCAGAAGACAGGCATGGCCCGGTGCGCCACAGGTAGGTGGGCCAGCAGTCGTCGCTCCTCTGCTTTCAGGGACAACAAGGCAAGCCATGAACTAGGCGGCCATGCGCCTTGTGTACCTCTGTTGTCTAAGTGCAATTATGAGGGGAGCCTGCTTGACTCTCGGATGTGGCACTGCTTGGACACCCTGGCGTATGGTCACCCTGCTCCTGTGGGTGGTCTCTTTAGTTCTGTCACCCCTCTTTCCTCCCTCCCTACCAGGGGACTGCTTTACCAGGCGGGCCTATGACATACTTTGTATGTTAAGTGCTCTATTGTATAAAATAATAGGGAAGACATTTTTTTTTTCTCATCTAGATTCTCCAAGCATGGTATTCTGGCTGGTATGGCTGCCGTGCCATCTTTGATGTTGCTGCCATTTCTCTTTGATGTTGCCAGATCTGGGGTCACTAGTTAACTCTTACTGTACATAACAGGTAAGGATGGGACGGACTCAGTCTGAGGTCACATGCTCACACTTATTACACACTTGCCTGTGACACTGGTCTCTGGTGGACACAACAAGAGGACCGGGAGAAGCTCTCTGGGGGGGAAAGGGACATTGAGTGGGAAGGGACCAGGCATCAAGAAAATCTCTGATTGCCATGCTCTTCTTCTACTTTGGGTTTCAACGTATCAGCAGACAGATGTCCTTACCCTGACCTACATATTTGCTATCCCTGCTATACCAAGCTTTTTGGGATTAGCCCTAGGAAGAAGGAGAAGGAGGAAGCGGGGGGGGGGGGGGGAAGAGGAGGGGTAGGAGGGGACACAAGATGGCGGCAGCAGCGCTGGGGAGGGCGAGGTGGAGGTGGCAAAACAGGCGGTTGAGCAGAATGTGTGGCCACTTCAGGCAGCTGCTGATGCACAGAGTCCCCTGAGTCCCTGTCAACCTCACTGCTGACCAGCCCACCTACCTGTGCTGCACCTTCCTGTGGGCCTCCCCGCTGCTTCTGTGGGACCCCATGACGTGGGTTCAGTCCAGCCAGAGAAGAAAACCCTCTCATACTAGCGTTGCAGATCCCAGAGGGTGAGAAAAAAGGGGCCTTATTCAGCCTTGAAACCCATGGGATTGGCCCCAAAGGAGTCATTCCAAACCTTCCTGTAACCAAGGCCCGCTTGTTACATGTGTCCTGTTGCCGCTGCAATTTTTGTCTGCCAAACTGTACAGATAAAGTAACTATTGATTTTCTCTTTCCAAATTAACAGACATCTTTGGGTGTACAATAAAATAAGTGTTCAATGAAAAAAAAAGAAGGGGGTTAGGAAGGAGGTGGGAGCGAGGAAAAGGAGGGAGAGACAGATCTGCAGCAAGTTCATGACTGCTCAGACACGTAGAGGTCAAAGCGCAGGGCCAGTAACTCGCCTCTTATCATGAAAATAGAAAGAGAGAAAGGCCGGCTGAACAAACGCACCTATAAAATTATATTGGTCCTTCGTAACCATGGAGCGCTCACACAAACACACACAAATCCCGCCGCGCATCTCTCACCCCTCGATGCCTTCTTATTTTCTATAATTAATCGGGCAAGGAACTCGGGACAAGCTCAACCGCCGTCAGAACTTGTAGCCCTCTCTCTAGCAATAACCCCTGTTGGAGGGGTAGGGGAGTGGAGCAGCAGCTGCTGGTGTCTGGTTACCTGAAGCATGTTGAGGAGCAGGCTCCGGAACTTGGTCCCCTCAACCATGAAGAGTGCCATCTTGTCGCAGAGTTTGGCGGCTGTGAAGGCAAAGCTGCGGTCCGACACGGCCTTCTGGTAGATGGTTCGCACGATCTCCTCCAGCATCTCCTCGGAGTTGGTGGAGTTCTGGGCCTCCTCCATGAAGGAGGTGAGCTTGGCGTCCACATCGCTGCTGTTGTTCCTCATGCTGTTCAGGATCTCCATCAACTTGTCCATCTTGTTTGGCTGAGGATTGCTTGTCTCTACCGTCACTTCCTCCTGGGGTATGGGAGGCAAATAGAACACACCTGAGTTTAGCTGGAGTCTCAGTGGGATTGGGATGGCCTGACGGAAGAAGGGAGAACCCGGAGAGAAGGGTGGGAGGGAAAGCAACCCCCACCCTCCTGCCACACTGCTCCTTGTAACTTTTCCTTAGCTGCAGTGATGTCCTGGGTTGACCCTGCTTGTGAGTTCCAGCTTCTACGCAGGATTCTCACCCACATATTCCCCCATCCTCCCTTATCCATCAGATCCCTTAATCTAGAAATGATTTAATGGGAATTAAAGATGAAGTAAGATGATAAGTAAAAACTGGGTCAAAGAGAAAATGATGGGGGGAAGACAGTGCCAGGGTGAGTGGGATCCAAAGCCTCTGTAGCGGTGCTGGGAGTGGTCTGGGTACAGCTGCCAGGTGTCCTGCTCTAAATGCCATGGACAGTCATGTTCTTGGGTGAATGGCTCCATGTGGACTTGGACCTGGCTTAACACCCCTCTATACACAAATACTGAGCATTAAGGAATCCTCTAATGTGCTATCCAAATGGCTGGTGCTTCTAGGAGGAAAACTAAAAACAAAACAAACCAGAAACAACACCTCGCTTATGTGCTTGTGAGAGCGCCCAGTAACTGGGGTGAGACCACTGGCTGGAAAGGCAGAAAAAGTGGCATGAGGTTATCCCAAACTGTATGCACCTTACAGAATAGACCCGTGGTCCAAGAACACAATGACCCTCTCTGTTGGGGTGTGGGACACAGTCGAGGAGTGGGCCAGGAGATACAGTGAGATACCTTGTTGGCCCTCTGTTCTCAACTCAGGAACTCTGGGCTGGAGGTGATGGGAGGTTCTACATTCAGCTTTCTGTGGCCATGCCCACTGGGAAAGTGGTTCCTTTCCACCATTCCCTTGGGGGTGACGTGGGACACTGGAAGAGCCCTGACGCTTTCCTTGAGCCTTACCACGTAGTGCAGCGCATGAGGGTGGAATCCTAAGTGACCTCTTTCTCCTTCTCTAGTCCCTTCTAGACCATCTACCTCTTCAGGGAAAGTTTGTCTGACCCAGCTCTTGTCCCAGAACATCTAATGTAATCACATCTAATTTCCCTGTCTCTCCAAGACCTCTTGCGGGAAGGAGGAGGGCACAGAAGATGAGGAGCCAGTATGTGTTAGAGGGGTTCAGAAACAGCTGTTGTGGACTTGACCTCTGGTGCCCCAGTGATACCCATGACCACGATGAGCTGGCACGGTGGATCCACACAGGCACAGAATCCTTGCTTCCCTTTAGAGAGGAACCCCTGTCCCAAGCCATGAGGCTCCACCCGGTCCTCCCATCAAAGAGCATACCTCTCAGCTGTCCTCCCGGTTGCAAGAGAACAAGGAAAAGATAATTACCGGTACCTTTTCTTTCAGTCTTCGCCTCAGCCTGTCTTTGGAAGACTGGAGCAGGGTGATTCTGGGCCGCTCCCCAGGGCGCTCGGGAAGAACACTGTCTTTATGCTTGGTCTCAGCCTCTGGGCCCCCTGGCGGCTGTGGGGTTGGCCTCTCAGAGGATGTTGGGGCCAGAGTGTCAGGACTGCAGGTTGGCTCAAGGCCACTGTGTCCGGTGTCCCCTGGGCTATCTTCAAGTTTGGGGTTCTCAACGGTCACGGTCTCTTTGGCGTTGCGGTGGCTGCCTGCTTCTCCTTTGTCTCCTGGTGGATGCTTCATGTTACCGTGGTGCCAGCGCCTGTTCTGGCTGTAGCCGTGGTGTGTGGGCCTCCCTGAGGGGTGGGGCCCTGAGCCCCCCTGGTAGGATTTCTGGTGGTCCCTGTTGTGTTTGGCACTTCCTGGTTGATGGTCGCCATGCTGTTGGGGTTTATTCCCTCCTGGAGGTCTCTGCTGCCGTCTACAAAGGAGAGTGGAGAGGGGAGGTGACAAAGTGAACGGCAGGGCCTCTTCACCAGAACACGGGATGGCCCGTCAGTCATTCTTCAGCTACTTATGTAGACCTTCTCACGAGCCATCAGGAAGGATGCAAGTCAAGCCTTCTCTAAAAGGCAACATTTCATCCATGTTGCATGATGTGCCAATGTATGTAATATGGAAGGGACATCTGAAAGGACCAATAGGACATCTGGCTCTGTCCTCTGAAAACTGCATTATCTGATAATATTTATGTGCTGAAGCCCTAACTCCATTCTTCATAATGTGACTGTCTGGAGCCAACTGAGATGCTAAAGATACGAACAAGTAAAGATGAGGGTAAGGGACCCGAGGTTGAGCCCTTAATCCAAGCTGATTTGGGTCCTTCAAATGAGAAGCAATTTGTGCACACATGAAGATATTAGGGATGCCACACATGCAGAGGCATCAGCTGTCATCTGCAAACCAAGAAGAGAGGGCAAAGGAGAATGCAACTCTCCCTCTCTCTCTCTTTTAAAATTTATTAGATTTTTAAAAAATGCCAAACCAAGTTCCCACAAAAGTATTTATTTTTGTTTTATGTACATTGGTGTTTTTCCTGCATGCATGCCTGTAAGAGGGCATCAGATCTCCTAGAACAGGAGTTACAGACATTTGTGAGCTGCCATGTGGGTACTGAGCATTCAACTTGGGTCCTCTGGATGAGTAGCCAGTGCTTTTATCTCCTGAGCCATCTCTCCAGCCCCCACAACTTTCTTGATACCTTTGAACAGTGAGGAAAAAGGCCTGTGTCTTTGGTGACCCTGTGTTTTGGCAGCCTTGGAGTATGAATGTGGAATGATGTTTAAAATGTGGCTTTAGGCAGAGGGACGCTCCCTAATCTATCTCTATCTATCTATCTATCTATCTATCTATCTATCTATCTATCTATCTATCTATCTATCTATCTATCTATCATCTGTCAATAGCCCAGAAGCGAACCCTGGAAATTCCCTGGCAGATAATGCTTGATTCTTACAACTCTTGTCATCCTTATTTAGGCTTTTTGGGGTGCCTCATACCATGGCCTAAGAAATGTCCCAAAGGGACAAACTCTTTCCCAGCTTGTCTTGAAAAGTGTCTTGTTTCCATTCACCATTCCTGGGATTTCTCTCTCTTTTCCCAGCAGCTACGCCTCCAAGTGGGTAAAGAAAAAAGGCCAACAACTTTTGTCTACCTTTGGGGGACACCATTAGGAGGACGTCATTTCTACATGGCTGGCCACTGAGGGCTCTAGAAGGAAGTCACCTAGGTCTTGCTGTTGTTCACCTGGGGATGTGGGGTGCCCTGAGATATTTTATCTGACTTGACACCCAAAGCCCTGACGGAACAGTATTGGCTAAGGGAGTGCTGGATTATGGGTGGTAGTGCCCCATGTGTACAGAGGGCCAGCCACAGGCTGGAGAGGAAGCTAAGCTGCCCACCTGTAAGTGTCCTGCCCTTTTGGGCATCAAACTACTGTGCGCTGGCTAGCTTTCTGTTAACTTGACACAAGCTAGAGTCATCTGAAAGAATTTCAGTTGAGAAAATGACTCCATAATATCTGCCTGTAAGGCGTTTTCTTAATTAGTGATTGATGGGGGAGGGCCCTTCCCACTGTGGGTGGTGCCATTCTTGGCTGGTAGTCCTGGGTTCTCTAAGAAAGTAGGTCGAGAAACAAGGAACAAGCCACTAAGCAGCACCCCTCCATGGTCTCTGCATCAGCTCCTACCTCCAAGTTCCTGTCCTGTTTGCATTCCTGTCCTGACTTCCTTCAGTGATGAGCAGTGATATGGAAGTGTGAGCCAAATAAACCCCTTCCTCCCCAACTTGCTTTTTGGTTATGGTGTTTCATCGCAGCAACAGAAACCCTAACTCAGACACACTGGGTTCAAAGGGAGGCTGCGCCCTGGGGAGCTGAGCAAGGCACAGGTAGCCCTGGGGAAGGGGGAACGAAGACTTAGTTTGTCGTCTTCTCAGGGCAAGTGACTTCTGGGTCTGTCTTCCGTGTGCGTGTGCATGTGGACTACAAAACATTCGGGCGGGTGGAGAGAAAGAGAGGAGAGAGGAGAGAGGGGAGAGGGGAGAGGGGAGAGGGGAGAGAGAGAGAGAGAGAGAGAGAGAGAGAGAGAGAGAGAGAGAGAGAGAGAGGAGAGAGGAGAGAGGGGAGAGGGGAGAGGGGAGAGGGGAGAGGGGAGAGAGAGAGAGAGAGAGAGAGAGAGAGAGAGAGAGAGAGAGAGAGAGAAAGATGCTGGGGATGGGACCTAAATTCTCACACATGCTAGGCAAGTGCTCAACCAGTGAGCTGAACCTCCTCAGCCTCCTTTCTTCTAGATAATCCCATTGAGGATTCCAAAGATGCAAGACCTGTGCATTCATCATGGGACCTAGTAGGCCACCTTCAGTCTGTTCCTCATTTATTCTGAGGTCCAACTTCCCAGGAGCACAGGGCTGGATTCCCAGAGACTTCTGTGGAAATGCCACAGCGAGCCCATGTTCTTTGCCTGGCAAGGAGCCCAGAGGGCCACTGTTCCCCAACCATGGTGGCCCAGGCTTCCCTGCTCGGGCCATTCACAAATATTTGTTAGTGGTAGCTGGGTGAGCTGGCCAAAGCCAGCATGCTCTCTTCTGTGCTTGCTGGTGCTAGGTTTCATTGATACCTTTGTCAGGGGCCAGCTGGCTGCTCCCCACGAGACCTGTGGGTTTGGGTTTGGCTGGGTCAGGGTGTTGCTTCTACTCCTAAAAGTGGGTGAGCACGAAGGCCAACTCTGGTGTCAGACATGCATGCATGCGGTCTAGTTTTGGGGGCATTGTGCGTAAGCCCACACATTCACCACAAAAGACAAATGCTTACTGCTTTGCCTTTTCATTGTTTGACCTGACTCTTAACTCTCAGGTGAGGGGATGACTTAAGGGACAAGAACAAAATTCCACTTGAGCCCCTAGAAGCACCTGCTGTTAAGATAAGAAAAAAAAAAAGACAATCTTGGGATGAAAATGATCAGTTTATGCTTTTTGGTTTATTCTAAAACTCCCTTTTAAGAAAAAAAGAAGTGCTCAGAACATACTGCAGCTGCATTTTAGGAGGGGAGTATGTACAGAAAATAACCAAATTTTGTTTTATAAAAATGGTTTTAACATCAGGCCAAATGGAGACAAATGTTTCTCTGTTCATTTTTTTTTCTTTAAATTTCGTAATAGCTCCCAACCAGATAGTCCAAGGCCTACTGGCTTATTATAGTTCTCTCCATGTGGGACCCTTTACCACATAATTTGTAGGTCTGCTTAAAAAATTCTGAAAGTAAAATTCCTGGGCCAGGGACTTGGAAATTCCACAGGGACTTGGGTTTCTTGCCTTCAGGAAAAGTGATGACTGCTCATGACAGCACAGCCACCTCCACCCCTGCCCACGTCCACAGGACCCGCTTCACCCCTACCTACCTCCACAAGAGAAAATGCTAGTCCTCAATTGTGGTTGGTTCACCCATCATGTCCTTATTTAAATCGGCTCTACCTGGAGTTCAATCCTAGTTGTCACTAGGCTCACGGAAGTACTCTCTGAGGGCTGTGTGTGAGTGAGTGGCAGAAGGTGTCCAGTGTTCTTGTGCACCCTCTCAGCATCACCCCGGTCCTATCTGGAATTAAGATAGCCCAGAATCCTGTCCTGATGTCTACCATGGTCACTGACCCTGACCCTGTCTCTCCTACTAGCCTGTTCTGTGCCTGCACACGGGAACGACAGCTCTCAGTGTCCTGGGGTCTGGTGGATCATAGTGGAGACGTCAGTGCCTATACCAGGGCTTAGAGACACTAGACAACCATTACAGAAGCTAGATCTAACTATGACTGGAGATAAGGAGACAAAGGTAAACCAGCAGAGAGAAGGGGTTAGCCCACTCTCGGGGCTTAAGCAGGCTGACAGGGAATGTACAGAACCTAGAGCGAAGAGAAAACGACAACCCTCCATCAAGAGTTTCTGAGGTCGTGACAGTCACAGCCCAGCATTCGGTCAAGCACAGACCTTTCTGAGCACATAGGCCTATGCCATATGTAGGCCGAACACCCTGTAGCCAGCTCTGCTCAGAGGGCTCCCGGGGGTAACAGCAGACTCAAGACTTGAGGGGAGCAGAGTCACAGTATACACGTGATGCATGGACAGCATGCCAGGCATAGCCTCTGTGCACCCTCAGGGTAAGCAGGGCAGCAGTGACCTCAGCAGGGCATAGGGAGCGTGTCTTGTCCAAGTCGGCAAGTGGCCAGCAGAGCTTGGGTTAGAACTTGGTGGCCCGGCACTTGCAGGCACAGTCTTGACCACTATACTTCCCTGGCCCAAAGCTCAAGTTTGTCCCAGGGTCCTGAAGCCCAGGGTAGCCAATAAACTACCGCTGAGTCTCAACCACTATCCAGAAGACTTTGGCCAAAGTCACAGTGGGGGAGGGGCTGTGGGTCATTCTGAGACAATGTGGGGTACCGAGGGCTAGACAGGCAGAAGTAAGTAAAGGCTTAGCCACCAAGGGGAGGGATGGGAGGCGAGGGCCTGTGGGAAGGAGAGAGCTGTGGGGAAAACAGCCTTCCAGCCTGGGCTCCACTGTGTCTGGGGCAAACCACAGGAGCCACGCATGGCCTTGGGTTCCAACTGCACTGGGAACAATCCTTTGCCCATCTCGTCTGCGGTGCTTGTGGCTGGAGCCTGGGGGATAGGGCTAGGGCCAAGTTTCAGGGTGGCCCTTTGGCTTCACTTGCTGCTTTTTGGGGGAGGGAAGGCAGAGCTGTGGGCTCTATCTCTGGCAGGGTAGAGGCTAAAGGAAGTGGCTTTTCCTGGGGAAACTTGGTGGCTCACGAGCCCCTGTTCCTCATCTTATTCTTGTTGGAAACCAGGGTTCTTGGGTACCTTATTTATCAATGATTTGCTAAGTGGCTTTGGCAAGCCTCACGGTGTCTGTGCCTTGTGCTGGGTGTGGCATG